ATCAATTAGGGGTAAAGATTTAGGAGAGCACAGCCAGAAACCTCCTGGTTATTCCTCTTTACTGCTAATTGCATTAAAAAAAAAAAAAAAAAAAAAAAAAAAAAAAAACATGTGAGATCCCAGAGATCCCATAGAAATAAAACATTTCTGTGCRAGCGCTTCTTAGGGAACTTGCTAGCTTGTGCAGTGATCATATGTAAAATGAAACCCATACGTTTTTGTTAGGATTTAATTTCCCTGTGAAATTAATTGCAGTCATTTAAACTGGCAATACCCAAGGTTACCAAGTGCTACATTTATGCTACTGAGTCCCACACTGTGGAAAAGAACTATATTAAAAGATCTTATATTACGTTATATAACACAGAGGGAGAGCGCTGCCTCCGTTASGATTATGTTAGAGGGCAGCTTCGTTAACCATAGCAGGAGATGAGTAAATGTGTTTCAAAGCTGCCTCTCGTGTAACTGGAGCTAAAGCGAACGCCGTTTTCATGTTCCATTGTTCTGAACAGTGCTTCTTGCAGGGGTGTTTTGAATCTCGATGACACGTGTGCCTGATGGTGGAGGGGTCTCCATGCAGAGCTGGAGGCTGGTTTTGCTCCCTGCGGAGCTGTGAAGGCTCCTTCCCAAAGATCATAGGCAGGAGGATAACCCTTCCCAAAACTGTTCCTTTTTTTTTTTTTTTTTTTTCTTGTGTGTGTGTGTAATTAAAGATGTATGTTTAGCCACTTCTTTTGCACTATTGCTTTCTGCAGACATTCAAGTGCTCAAATTTTACCACGTTCAGGTGAGATTTCCATATCCTTTGCCATGTGGCTTAGGTGCATGGCCAGCTTTAAGCAGCACGGGGCAGGTTAGTTGAGTCCCAGCTTGCAAAATCTGCAGTGGAGTTGCCTGAGATAGTTTGTCATTTAACCTACTGTAGGTAATATCCCTGAAGATCATCAAGAATGATCTTGTTGTTGAAGCTAAGGAAAAAAAAATCTGTGAGTAATTTTGTATCAGAAATAGAAGTTCTTTGTAGGCTGTGATCATCCAGAAATGGATTAAATRATGGAAAATGATCAGACTAATGACTATACCAGATCTCCCCCAACGATTTCCAAAGCACATCCTGCACATCCCGTGTGTCAGGGGATGCTGTGTGTAAGTGGCAAGGATGGATTGCCAGAGAACAGGCTGGGAGTTTAGGTCAAGGAACAAACCCACAAGGTTCACAAGCACTATTTTATCCCCAACAGTGCTGTAGAGTTTCTGTATTGATTCTGGATGCTTTTCAATATAATTCKTCACTTCTCCAAGGGAAAAGGCTTGATTTTTCCAAAAATGTCAGTCTCCTAACCACTACGCTACAAACTTCAGACAAGAACRGTCCATCCTCCCCTTTTGTGCATTCTGCTACCTTGAACAGTCAGAGTAAGGTTTCTCTAGACTAATTTTGTTTTTATCCTCGATGATATAAACCTGTTTGCCGATCCAAATGTCATTCAACTATAGGACTCTTCTGAACTTGGGCGAAGTTTCTAGCATTGCTTGAAAAGTCTGAGGATTTGGGTTGGAGGTAGGTGGCAAGTGAGAGSGAGAAGAATGTGTTGACGGGAAGGAGGGGAACAAAACTTTTAGTGCATTAGACTTTTCAAGGCAATCAGGTTTGATCTCTGTTAATATTGCCAGTGGATCCCAGTAGGGAAGTGGGAGATGCCTTTTGTAAGACCCAACACTTTTTAATTAAAGTCTCTGTTGAAAATATTTATCGTTCACAGGTGGTGGAGGAAGGAAGCCATCCACACTGTCTCTGCACGTCATGAGGAAGCTGAGAAGGGCACGTACCTGTTTTATGCAGGCCAGCTTTGAAGCAAGGTGCTCCTCTGAAGCACTTACCCCTTGGAGACTTTCAGGAAGGAAGAAGTTCGCACCTATTAACTTCCAAAAATAAAAGGCTAATTAAAGTCAACAGCATAAACTAAGCCCAGATTGAGCTGGCTTAGTGTTTTAGTCTGTTGGAGCTGCAGCATCAGGTTTTTCACACAAAGGCTAAGAATCAGCAGGATATTTTGGCAGGAAAAGATACCTCAGAAAGTGAAAATCTCATGTTTCACACACCAGAGGATGCCACTACAGAACTATCCCAAAATTTGGGGTGCTCCTGGGATCAAAGCAAGTGTCATAAGGTGACTTAAGCAGGCATAAATATAATACAGGATGTCATGTACCRAAGTAGCCTGCTTCAGGACCGTTACAGGTAACTAGACATTCTATAATRGCATGAGAAAATATGACATTTGTCTCCCCAGTTGGGTTGTGCTGCTTCCATGCAGTTACATAGTTGGCATGAAGTCCAGAAGGTAAAACCTTCACCACTAAAGTCGGAAGGGGTTTTGTGATTAGCTTCAGTGAGGTTGGTATTTCTTGCTATTCTTTTGCCCAAGGGCAGCAAAGTAACATCCTCCTGGTTGACATTTCCAGTTATTAATTTGCAGGAAATTGTGAAATGTGAACTTTCCCTGGAGAGAAAAAAAAATGTATTGAGAATTTCCCATGAAAGATGATTTCCTGTGTCACTCTATACATTTTCAAAAGGGGGTTTGCAATGTCATTTAATTTTTCTATTTGCTGTTCTTCTGTTAAGCAGCACTTCCTCAGAGCACCTCTCTAAAGACAGAGCTGTGATGTCTAGCAGCACTGATCAAGTTTAGACTCTGGACTTGAAATCCACAAGAGAGAAACAAGGAGAGACACAACAATTACCACAGGAAACCATTAACGGTAAGGTATTATCCATTAATAGTAATTTATATGCATCTCCTTGAAGATTATATTGTGCTTGCTGTACCTTCTTGTACTTGTTAAAGCTATAGCAAAAGGTTGATTTCAGCATATTTTTCCCTAGATTTTCACAGGGAAATGCTCGTAGCTGTACTAGTAGGTAAGTACACGCTAAAACTGGTCTCTGCTTTCTTCTTTCTGCCTGTTCTGTTTCTCCAGATAGGGTTAAAATTCTGTGGCAGACGCTGTAGGCACTTGAAAGGTTCACTAGACTTTCTSTATGGGTCACAGCTGAGGTGATTTCCATAAGTATACTTGCAGGYAGACACTCATATAAGGATCTTCAGGTGGCAACCAAAAGGGTATTAGTTTTTACACATGGCCTATATTGCCTTTTTTTACAGACAAAGACTAACACGTGGAAAATCCATCTTCCCAGTTTCTTTCCGTGAAGGCAAATATCTTAATGTTTTACGCAGCACTGGGCAAAAATTATTTTAAAGGAATGAGTCACTATGGCAACAACTGCTTATCTCAGAATCAAAAAGCAGTTGTAATTGTAATTAACAAATACGTGCTTTTGAACTAGGAATTATTCTGAGCTACAGCTCATTTTCTTTGGCGTTTCAGAGTTACTTTTATTGCCCCTAAAGCCTTCAAAATTTACTGTAATTCAGCAGTGCAACACCTCATAGAGATTGCAGTCTGCTTTGAATACACTGTCTGAAAGTGTGGGCAGTGATTTCAACCACTTAAATAATTCAGCAGCCTCCAAAACACCGGGAACATTTTATTTTATTTTATTTTATTTTATTTTATTTTATTTTATTTTATTTTATTTTATTTTATTTTATTTTATTTTATTCTATTTTATTTTTCCCCCTCCCCTTACGAGGGAGAAGCTCTAAGACAAGAAAGGCCCCTGGAGGCTCATGTTTCATCACAACTGGCAGCGCATCCCGGTACTGGAGGTGCACGGAGAGGGGCTGCTGTGGGCAAGGTGCTTGCCATGGATTCTGCGGAGCGGGAATTAGCCACCTTGCCAGGTAAGATGCTGGGTGGTGTGTTTTGCTGTTTAGAGACAAGTGGTTAGAAATGTACCCATAGTTCACACAGAACATAGGGATTTCAGAAGCGGCACTTAACTACRTACAAATATATCGTCTTTCACGGCAGGGAAGAGTTACGCGAGCGAAACCTGTGAACTTATAGCTGCCACCTAATTATTAATCTCCTCTCACTGGCAGCTGATTTCCCTTCATCTTAAGCAGAAGAATTTAATGGGGGAAAAAAAAAAAAAAAAAGGCTAAAAGTGCTTTTTCTGCTGCTCTGTGAGCATTTGTGCCCATCACTTCTGCCCTGGGTCAGGGTCATGTGCAGAAACTTAGGTCAGCTGCAAGGACACAGAGGGACTTGTAGCAACCCAGTTGTGACTGCTTTGAGAAATCAAACGGTGAGTAACCRAAGCATTCTATTCCCGGTGGTCCCGGTCTGTGGATCGTTCTGGAGCCAGTGGCAAAGTGCGCTTTGAGCTCCGCAGGGATAAAACTGGGCTTGTGATTGTGAGCTGGTGCTGCGGCTCTCGCTGGAGCATGTGCACACGTGTGGCCTGCTTGGAGGACAGAAGACCCTGCTGCTGATCTTAACCAGTGCTCTGGGTCTGTCAAGAGTTAGACTGCAAAGAACTTGTTTAGCCCCAACTGGGGCAGCCTCCCACGCAGTTTCATATGTTTCAACTTTTTTCTTCAACATATATTTCAACTATTTTTGACTATTCATTTTTCAGCTAGCATATTGTAGAGCAAACACCTGCCTAGGTTTTATGTAAATAGTAATAAATTATTTACCTAAATATTTCTTTTCTTCACTCTTTCCAAGAAGGAAGCGGGACAAATGTTTATTTTTCCTGGAACCTGTAACTTTCAAAAAAAAAAAAAAAAATCAGCTCATTTCTCCATAATGCAGTTGTGAATCTCCATGGACTACTAAGCTTTTTCTCTTGGAAATGGATTTACTGCTCAGCAGCTGCAATTATAGTAGCAGAACACTCTGTAAAGACTTTTCAGTGCCTAAAATGAGGGGTTTATTCTTCCTGGTGCAAGRGAGCTGATTCCTGTGCAGAGGTGGCTTCCAGATTAGCAGTAATCAATCAGGTTAATGAGCCACAGACTATAGTAATTTTTATTCTTTTGGTGCTCTTCCAGTCACCCAATGACCGAAATGACTCCAGGTGAATGTGAAGTGTTAATTAATGAAGTGCTGACCCAACCGGCCAGCTGATGGCCTCTTATGAAGGAAGCTGTAAAAATCTTGACTCTGAACCTCTGTGCAAGGGTATTTGCCTCCCTGCTGTGTGGCAGGATGCGCTAGAAATCTCTGTATCATTTTTGGATTTTCCGATTGCTTTTCCGTGAGGCAGCTGTATGAAACCTGATTTGCAGGAGTGTTTCTGCAGGGTTGGCTGTTCAGCAGGTAAGGTGAAATCRCCTGGCTAGTCTGGGCTGAGCTCTTTCTCTCTAATCTGCTTCTTAAGCTCTGATTTAGTAACGCATGTCCTCTCTTGTAAATAAATAACACTTTCCAAAGGCAGCCTGGCTCGGTGGGCTGAGGCTGAGTTTGTGCCAGTCTGCCTAAGGCGCGAGACTGAATGGAGCCAGGGACAGCCCCGGTCCTCCCTGGAGTTAGGCCAGGGCGGGACGGTGCCCCTGATGCCGGGTTGGGAAGCGTGTGAGGGCGCTTTCTCCTCAGCGATCCCGAAGAGCACACGGATGTGTCGGGAGCGCGAGCGCCGCCCTCGCCACCCTTGTCACCGCCAGCGGAGCAGCAAAGCCCCACGGGTGCTGGGGGGAGGCTCCCTGCAGCCCCACGAGCAGGTGAGTGATGCAGCCCTTGATGGTGCCCCTCTCCCTCWCCCGTGCTGCTTTGGCTTGTATTTTGACAAGGGGCAGTAAGGGGGTCCTTGGGCACCCATGGAAATGCTGTGCGTGGAGGGCCGGGTGTGCAGCCCGCAGGAGGGCTTGTGTCAGCGAGCTGCCCTGTGGCTTTGCAGGGGAGAGACTTGAAGCAAAACACCCGAGTGCTGTGGGAGGCCAGCGCTGCCAGACCGGACCACTAACGCTTCCCGGAGGATAACGGGATCGTGTCTGCAGGGGCTGTCAGCTGTGCCGGGGGTCAGGAGGAGCTGGCTGGGTTGCCACTGCTTTGCACTGGAGGCTGGGGGTGTTTTCTGTTTCTCTCTATTTCTTGTTACCAAGATTTGCTTAGGAGCAGCTGCAGGCTGTGGGCCGCAGCCCTGCCGCGCCGGCACGCGCTCCCGGCGTCTCGGCGGGAGGGGAAGCAGCTGCTTCCCGGCGCGCGYGGCGGCGGCCAGGACACGCGGAGCCGGCGTCGGGAGAGCCTCCTTCAAGCTGAAGTATATTAATGTACCTGGTATGGGAGAGCAGAAATGTGAATGAAGGAGCCTCMTTTTGGAACACGAGGCACAAGTTCTGACACTGGTCCTGGTTACTGTGATAATAAGGCCCTCCATCTACTTTCTCAGTTTGAATCCACTTCCTCCTCCTCTTGACTCAAGTGATCCTCTCCTGAGGATCGGGATCRTCCTCACCCAGGGAGCCTCAAAATGAAAATGCCCTTGCAGGAAGGAAAGGGATTCAACCACAAGACAAAAATAGCATGTTGCTAAAGTAGTACCAGAGCTCTCCTAAACCCATCTGTTCCCCCCTTGCAAATAAAACACACACACACACACACACACACACAAAACGGAAAGACTCCAGCATCAACTGACCCCCTCGTCCGTGAATTGCCTTAGAGCTGAGCCTGGTATTTATCAGCAGCGTCTCTTGGCAGGAGAGCCTGCCCTGCAAAGCAGCTTAAGGGGCCTCAGGCTCTCCCTGCTCTGGCTGCCCCAGGTGCTGCTCTGCCCTGCGGCCCGTTGAGCCCCTCGCTGGTTGGGCCGGCGGGAGCYGCTCCGCGCAGCCAGGATGGAGGCACGGGGCCGAAATCGCTGCCTAGCAATTGCAGGCAGTAAAGYGTGGTATCAGCAAGGCCCCTGCCTAAAAGCAGTGCTGCTTTAAGCACAAATCCTGCAGGAGGAGAAAGGATGGGTGGAAGTGTCAGTGGCTGTTGCCTTCAGCAGATGCTTCAGGTGAGTAGATTAGTTAGGCTGAAAGGCAATCTCTTGAGAGATAAGAAATAGCCATTTTTGGTGCCCTGTACAAGATTAATGCTTGTCAATCTGCCCTATGAACCAGGTGAGACAGAGACCTTGTAAGAAAAATAGAAGGTATCRTGTACCCTACGTGCCTGAGGCCTCGCTGCCCTCGTCATCCTTCCAGGCGGGAGAGKCGCTCCTCAGTTTGGCAGCTACTTCTCCTACCCTTGCATGCAAAACCCCCTGTATCCAGGCTTGGGAGAATAAGGGAATTATTGCGTTTGTAGCCCGATGCACCCCGAGCAGCGGGCACTGTGAATCTGGGTACATCTTTAGGAGGGCTAGGGGCCCAAACCTCTCCGGTTACACGGTCAGATTCCCGGCGAGGCGGCGCTCCCTGCGGCTGGCAAGAGGTGCCTCGCAGGGCATCCTGCTTGTGGTGCCGCCCTGGCAGAGCTGCGTCTGAAGCTGGAAGCTTTCTGAAGCCAGAGCTGCTCCAGCAGCTTTTTCCAGCTTTATTTTCAGCTTCCAGCGGAATCTGACACGAGCCGCAAAGGGAAAACCAGCACAACGGCTGCCAGGCCCCCTGTGCTCGGCCCTGAAGCCCGGCCACAGGCAGGGCTTTGCTGGTGAGCTGCTTATTCCAGAACAAAATCAGCAGGAAAAAGAGTCCCGTCAGCTTTAACTTTGACGGCATTTATTGCAGTTTTAATTTGGCACCTGTGTGGCAGGGAAGGATGGAGGCAGACCTGCCCCTTCATGTRTTCTTCAAAGACTGATRKWTTTTTTTATTATTATTATTATTCCTGGGAGGTCTTTCCCTGTTCCCAGCTCTTTCAGTCTGCATTTTTAGCGGTTCGGGGAAGGGGTTTGTCCAGCAGGTTGTTTCTTGCAGCTGCTCCCTGCTGTTTCACTGGCCTGCAGGTGCATCCAGCCTCATTCCGTSAAAAGTCAGTTTTGACTGAAGTAGGTAATACATCTACTTGGTGTTAAATAAAAGGAGCTACTTCCATTTCCAGGAACGCTGCGTGTCTTTCCCAGCTGGTGACTGGGGAGCTTTAATGATGAAGAGCCAAGCTGCCATTTACCCAAAGTATATTCTGTTTCCGAGTGCAATTCCCCCATTTAAGAGGCTTTTATGTCAAGAAAACCTTAAACCCTAAATACTAGTCCTTCAACCTGTAATCTTCTCCATGCAGCTGTGTAACTGTTTCAGTAAATGCAGGTGGAAAATCCCATCTTTGAAACCTGGCTTTTCAGTGGTTTTTGGAAGGCAAGTCCCCCGCAGCCCTGGCTGCTCTAGTTGCTTTATTCCAAAGATTCCTGAGGTAACGGGACCCTGGTCACTTCACTGCCAGCTGCCCAAATCTGAGGCTGCTTCTGATCATTTCCACTTGTTGGCTAAACTCTAGGTGCTCCAACAGCACCTAGTTCTTATGGGGAAGCTAACGTTGAGGGGAGAAGAACCTGCACTGCCCACCTGGGAACTCGCTGGGTTTCTGCGGAAGGGGAGACGTGTGTGTAGCACCGTGCACAGGGTCGGTCCAGTGGCAGGTAAGATTTCCAGTGTGCGGCACTGCTGCTCCATGCTGGTGTGTGGAAGGAGGTGGTTGCTCCCGGRGCCAAGAGACGGGTTTTCCGGCAGGTCTGTGGCTGCTGTTGCAGGTGCTGGAGCTGGAAGGGTCTCCAAGTTGTCAAGCTCTCTTGACAACTTTTTGCTGCGTGCAAGTGCCCACGCTGGAAAATGGAAGCCAAGCGTTGGCGAGGGTTGGAAGGAGACTGTGAGAGGCTGGGCAGGGCCGGTCTGCTGCTTGTGCGCGTTTGCTCTGTGCTGCTCCACGTCGCTCTTTGTGAGGCCGGCGGAGCCCGAGCGCTTCGGCGTCTCCCAGGACRTTGTGCACGTGGACGGGACACACGGATGGGACACACAGACGGTGCAGCCGCTGCGTGGCTGTTGTGTCCGTGGGGCTGCCGGTGACTCGCTGGCGCGGGGCTGCTCTGTCGAGGTGCTTAATGCTCTGCGGGGCCCTGCAGCACGACACGTGGTTGTGCCCTGCGGTAATAGCGCTGCATTCATGTTTGCCACACTGCTAAGCCCGGCTTTGGGAGGCGTTCCTAAGCGCRGCTTTGGGAGGTGCTGGTCTGGCTCTGCCCGAGCCGGGGCTGGCGCCTGTTGGGAAGCTGCCCGCATCCTGTGGCCGGGGGCTCTTGCTCCTCCCGGCCATTTCTGTGGATTCGTGTCTAATGCTGCATCCCTTGGGATGGAAGGGGGGTCTCGCTGCAGGACATGGTGTGGCCTTCTCCTGTGGACGTGCCCRGCTGCACAGGCTTGGTGGGGTCACTGGTCTTTGTAGCTCCTTCTGCCTCTGTCCTTTCTTAGGCCTGAGACAGTGTAATGATAGTAAATGTTACATGGRAAACATAAAACCCAGTGCGGTTCCCTCAAAATGTACTGCCAACGTGTGCTGGACGTCGTGCAGGGATCGAGCTGTGTCCGAATTGATCCACGAGGCGCTTCTGTCTCATCTCCTCGTGCTGTGCCTATGGCACCTACTTGGCTTCTCTTGGCCRCTGAAAGTGATGGAGCTTTGGCAACATTTCTGTGGAGCAATAGGACTAAATGCATTTGGATAATGGATTCTAGGTGTGCTACGCGTTTTCCTGATCATGATTTTGGATAATGAGGGAAATATTCAAAGTAATTAGAAGTCACTGAAGGGATATGGTTCTGCTTTATGTAAGAGGAAGTTTGGGTTAAGTAAATATGGACAGCAAACAGTGGGGGGGAAAAAAGAACAGCCAGAAATCTTGGGACTCTTAAGGTACCACTCTTATACTGTTTTATYGTCATATAGTCTTATATTGACTGGGTCTTGTATTGATATGGCCATCGCAGCAGCCTGTGCATTGCACAGAGGCAACAGAGAGGGAGATGTTTGGCCGTCCTTCTCCCTASAAGTCCGTGTTGTTGTGAACGGAGCAGCGTCCCCAGTGGGCGCTTTGCAGGAGAGGAGGAGCGCGAGGCTCCCCCGGGAGGGCCGCGGAAATGCGGGTTGTCCCCGCAAGGCTCCGTGTTCACACGCGGAGCATCCCACGGGGGCTGCCCTCCTGGCGGCGCGGGCGCCAGCGCGGCCTCTGCTCCYGGCACCGGGAGAGGGGCTGGAGCTGGGAGGCTGCCGCTCAGCTCCTGCTGCAGCGCCTAATTGCACGGTGATTACAGAGCATCCGCAATTATGCAGATGACTGTACRCTTGCGTTTAGGATAATAAAAAGGGTAAACAAAATAGGCCCTCGAATCCCTGTAAAATTGGAAAAGCTGCTGTTGCTGCCCCAGATGTCAGTGCCACCCGTGCATTCCTTGATGAGCAATTAGCCCCCTTGGAGAGTGGCCAGGGAGCCCCAGGGGCAGCCAGGGCTGCAGGAGGGTCCCAGGGGGGCTGCAGGTCTCCCGGAGCAGCCGCCCTGTGCCCCACGGCCAGCGAAGATGCTCCCAGAGCAGCCGCCCTGTGCCCCACGGCCAGCGAAGATGCTGCTGCGGCTGCTCCGGCAGGTGACGCGGGTGGCAGCGGCCGATCTGTGCAGCCGGCTCGGCCGTGGTGATGAGCTCAGGTGGGACAGGAGGCCGCCCAGGTGTCCCCAGGGACTCCCCACAAGCCCTGCCCAGCACCCACGTGCAAAGGGCCTGGGCTCCCTGGAGAGCCCTCGACCAGGTAGTGCTGCTTCCTCGCTCGCGCCCCTGCATTTGCAGGTGGAGGCTTGGGTTTGCTAAGCCCGGCTCAGGCAGCCTCTGCTGCAGAGCAGAGACGGGCTCTGCCAAACCCGCTACCTGCTATTAGTCCGCGAGCAAACGGGACTTGGACCTGCACCCGAGAGCTCTGCCCGTCCCCCCGATCCGCCTCTCCCCGCACCCTTGGGAG